GAGGAATGAAGGGACAGAGGGAGGGAGGGGCGATGAACGTTCCTGGACATAAATAGCGAATGGAGACAGCCCAGATCTTAGACACTCTCTGGCAACCCCTATATGTGTAGATACTAGTTCTCTCTAGAACAATGGTCCCACCTTTCAAACCCTTGCTTCCTCCCCAACCTTGCTCACGACCTGCTGTGCATCCCTGCAGGTTGACATTTGGTAGAACTTTATTCCTTATCTTATTTGAGAAAAAAGAAGAGCCCTGAGGACCCTGTGGGTTCAGATAACATGAACCCTCTAGAGCAAGCAGGTCAAACTCAAAGGCTAAGACAGGCCAAATAAATGAGGCATGCGGCCCGTGGGCCATGAGATTGACCTGCTTGCTCTAGAGACTCTTCATCTCCCTCTTAAACGCAAAAGGATGCTTGTCTTCTTCCAGGTGAAGCTCACTATTCCAGACGTGAGCTCTTTGAGAGCAGAAAGAACGTCCCGACAGCCTCTGCCAAACACAGGGGGAAGGAAAGAGGGGTTCAGGGATTCCACATCTGTAGTGGCATCTGCCTCCCCTTCAACAGGTCCACATCCTTCTTTGCTCTGTCCAGGGTTATGCACTATATGCTGTGGCCGATCCAGTGGCAGAGGCTTCGCCCTTTCCTCCCAGAGCCCAGTGGCTCTTATGAACGTTTATGTGCAAGTATTTGTTTGAATACCTGTTCTCAGCTTCCTCTTCAAAATAGTTGGCAAATACCCTTAGCCGGCTCACCTCCCCCTTCTTCCATCCCGCTGCCCGGACCGTGGAGGGATATGGACAGAGCTCTAGTGGTCATCATGGACCGTGCGTGCCCTGGGAACAGCAGTGAGGGGACTGCATGGTCCCGGGCCCCTGGGGCATGTGCAGCTGCCTTTTCTGCCCAGAACTGCCTACATCCACACCTGTCAGGTAAGGAAAAAGGAAACATCTATCTCGTTTATTTCTCTAAGCCATTGCTATTTGGAGCTTCGCTGTCATTCACATATACCTGATGATGTAACCCCCCAACTTATTCTGGGTCCACCTCTGGCAGGGGTAACATGAGAAGCACAGAACAGAGTCCAGACTGTGAAAGGGGGTGACTAGTCAGCTGTCTCAATCCTGATCGGCTTGACTCTGTAACTGAATCACCTACAGCAGACAGGTAAGTGGGACTGGGCTGTGGGTGAGTGACGGGTTTTCACCTCCTCTTCCTGGGAGGACCACAGCATAGAGTTGCTGGCAGATGGCCCAACATGACATAACTGATACTCCAGTGGCCGGTCTCCCCCACCTGCCCAGACCTTATTCCCTGTGTCTCTTCTCTAGGCAAAGACGTATTTGTATCTTACAGATTTCTAGAGTTGGTTAGGGCTGATAAATATATTAAAAATCCAGCCAAGTGTCTTTAGCATTTTTAGAAACCACGTTAAGAAATACATTCCGCCCTAACCGGTTTGGCTCAGTGGATAGAGCATCGGCCTGAGGACTGGAGGGTCCCAGGTTCGATTCCGGTCAAGGGCATGTACCTTGGTTGCGGGCACATCCTCAGTATGGAGTGTGCAGGAGGCAGCTGATCGATGTTTCTCTCTCATCAATGTTTCTATTTCTCTCCCCTCCTCTCTGTAAAAAATCAATAAAATCAATTTTTTAAAAAAGAAAAGAAATACATTTCACAGTGTTTCTCTACAGGGGTCTATACCTGATGTGAAGTTTCACAGAGCAACACTAACTCCTACTGCCATTTTCCTCTTCCACTTCATTTTAATTGCTGGTCATAATCCACTAAATGATTTTACAGCCTACTAATGGGTGACACATGGCAGCTTGAAAAACAGTGATATAATCCCATATTCCCATATTACAGGTAACAAAACTGAGACCCTGAAAGGGGAAACCATCTTCTGAGGTTACTGGGGGGTTAGAAGCAGAGCTTGGCTCAGAATCCGGGTCTTAGATCCTGGTAACTGAGGGTCTATGAGTCATTCTCAATGCCCCCTGAGCCCATGGAACATCTCCAACTCCTGGCTGGCCCCACCACCAGCCCCAAGAACAGGTGCTTTCCTCTCTGCTCTCACTTCCTTCTCTCTTGGGCCTGTGCCATTCCCTTTATCTTTTCCCCACATTGAGCAGCACACATAGTAGGATTGCTTGGTACCCAGTTGGAGAGAGCTGGGGGTTCCGATAGTGGCTGAGTGAGGGGCCGGTCAGGCTGCTGGGATGAAGTGAAGGACCCTGGACTGGTTGTCTGGCAGGCTGAGGCCTCCGGCAAGGTCTCAGTGTCCCAGGAACATACTTTCTCCATATGTAGAAGGAGAGAGTGAAGCCTGCACATCCTTGTGGGCTTAGTATTCAGACCCAACATGTACTCATCACTAGCACCTGGACCTCCAGAAGTTGGGGGTGCAAGTCCCCTGGGATCCCAGACATAATGACAAAAGCAACACAGGAGGGTTTGAGTTTTTTGGGGGGCTGCCATTGAGGACGTCCGCTGTGCCAGGCTCTGTGCTAAGCATTTTACTTCCATTACGTCCAAAACCCTATGAGATATTATTCCCATTTCACAGATGAGGGATTTGAAAGTCCAGTCAGGTGACATCATTTGCTGAATATCACACACTCAGGCAGAGCCTGCACCCAAGCCCAGACTGGAAGCCAGTGTTGTCTGACCACGTCTGACTCCAAGCTGCCACCCTGCAGCCAATCGAGGTGGCCGGGGTGGCCATGACTTGGCATGGCTCCAGGAAGCTGCCAGAGAGAAAGGGCCGCTCACAGCCCACGGCCTGTCTCAGCATAACATGGCCAGTGGGAGAGCAGAGGAAGGAAGAAGGACTCTGGACAAGTTCACTTAAGAGAGCTTGACTCAGACCTGTGGTTGCTGCACCTGAGAGGCACCTGGGGAGTTGGGGTGGGCCAGTTAAATGAGAATGTCTGGCTTAGGGACAGCATTCGTATTTGTATTTTGAACTCTCCTGGCGTTTCTAATAAGCGCCCAGGACAGAGAATGACTGCCTTAGGTTGATATATCGTTTTACACTTATCAAAACTCTTTCACATTAATTATCTCACCTGAGCCACATAGCAACTCCGGGAGGAGGTGGGATGGGGTGGGGACCGGGGACTCTGCCTCCTCTCCCCGCAGGAGGAACACGAGGAGAATGTCGACTCTTTGTGAGCCCGTCTCTCAGCCCCGAACACAGACTGTGGGGCCTCAGTTCCTGAGCAACAGGGAAATACTTTCCTCCCTTCGGCTCACACCCCAGCCGGCATGTGGGCCCTGGGGAGGAGAGGAATGCCCCGCCCGCAGAGTACGGCCCAGCGGGGTGGAGGCGGAACAAGTTATCCGAGGTGAACAAAAACAGCTCACTGGGGACCTGGAACGGTGTGGGGGCTGGCAAGGGGGGCAGGGGAGCTCTTTGTGGGAGAGGTCCCCCTGAGAATCGCCCTCGGTTAGAAAATGGACTTCACCTCATAGGGTTTTTCTTTAGGCTTATGGAAAGTTCCCCCAAATTAGTGAGCAGTGTGGACTGAGCGCCTTTGAGGTGGGCTCCGCAGTAACCCTATTTTAGAGATGAGGAAACTGAGACACTTCGGTTGAGTAACCTGTCCAAGATCACTCAGCGAGTGGGGCCCTGAGCGGAGAGTCAATCCAGAGCTCGTCCCTGGACGTGTAGTTGTAACCCGTGGGCTCACCCCCATCTGTACTGATCCCCGGTAACCGGTGGAAGCACAGGCAGCCCTCATTCCAGGTGGATGCAGCTGCTGGCAGGTCTGTGTCCGCTGACCTGGGAGCAGCTGCTGCCCCAGAGGAAAGGAAGCAGGTGGACTGGGGTGGGGAGGGGGGAGAGAAGGCAGCGTGTCCCATCACAAACGCCCAGTGCCTGACGCCATGAGCCCCCGAGCCCAGGGCGCTCTCTGCTTTCAGAGCGACCACAGATCTTGCTGGAACTCAGGCCCCACTGAGCCAAGAAGCTGTAGCCCAGTGTGAGGGGGACCGGGGCCCCTCCTAGATTCCAGGCCAGGGGGAGGCAGGACCCCGAGAGAAAGAGCCGCTGTGCCCCAGCTCCCAGGAAAGATGTTTTGTGGCAGACCCACGGCCTAGAATGGTCCTCGCAGATTGAGGAACGAGGCCCGAGAAGGGAAGTCTCTGCAGCCAGGCCAGCACTCTGCCCAGCAAAATAGTCGGCAGCGAGCCTCCTGCCCCAGTGGCCAGTGTTAGTCCCGCTAGGGAGGGCCTGGCCTCTCGCAGGCAGGGCCTGAGGTTCATGTTTGAACCCTGAGAGCTCTGCCTCCGACCCGGGGCCTGCGAGTGGATGTGGGGATGGGGAGCGAGGCCTCTACTCCTCAGTGAGCCCAGGGTCGGTGCTCACGGCCTGCATCCCCATCCACCCTGGGGCCGGACTCAGTGGGCAGCAGACAGAGGGTGCCACGCTGCAGGGCGGGGGGAGGGGTGCCGGCTGCCCTCAGTTGGAAACCCACATGTACCTTTGCACACAGGGATTCCCAGCTGAGGAGCTGCCCCTGAACAACTCAGGTGTGAGAGTTAAGAAAATCTGCGATCAGTGGACCCCGTTCAGATGCGTGGTGTTCAAGGTAAACTGAACTTCATGCAGAACACTGCCAGGCCCTCCTGCACCGCCGCCACCCCACCCATAGCCCAGCTGCCCTCTCCACCAGGAGGCAGTCACTGAACCCCCGCTGATTCCAGCAAGAAGCTTAAATTGGGAACTGGACACAGTTCTCTCCAACCTACACACATGGACCCATAGTCCCCTGGGTCACACCTGCTGACCCACCCACCTCCCTTCCCCGCTGCCCAGAACACTCCTCACGCCACAAACTAGTCCTGACCAAGCACGCCTCCCACTGCGCCCACTGGGGCCCCTCTCCCTGGGTGTCCAGTGAATACGTTCATTCATTCCAGAGGCCCTGACTGAGCGCTTTCTGGCTGAGCGACCAGGAGCTGAGCTGGGAACTGCATGTTGGCAAACGGAAGGGAATAAAGATTCTCTGGTCTGTTCCCCGCCTTTTTAAAAGCTTATTTCCTTCCAACCAGCCGTTGTCTATGTTGGGTTGTGACCTCAGAAGGTCTCTGGTTGGTTTAGATGTTGAGCTCTAAGAGGTTAAGACCTCCTGACTCACAGGCACTGGCACACAAGCCGGGCTCACGGCAGGCGGCGCAGCGGCAGGCCCGGGGCTATCCGCCCACCCACGGCCCACGCCCGGCACCGGCCCCAGGGGGTGAGCACTGCTGGGCCCATCGCTCTCTGTCCCTGGCTTCTTCTCAAGGTGAGAGTCGCCAGAACCGGAGGGAACCTGAAAGTCCATCTATTTCAAGCCCTTCATCTTACAACCGGAGCCTGAGGCTTGGTGCTGACAGGGAAGGCGGAGACTGCTGGTAGAGCTCAAGTGAGGGACCAGCTCTGCTAACAGGACACAGTGGCCAGGGTGCTGCTGGGACCGGGTCTGGGCTGTGCCACCCACTCTCCGAGTGATCTGGTAAGTCTCTAGCCCTTCCTGGACTGCCTCCTCCCCCTGGGGGAGGGCGATGGCCTCGGTGACAGCTGACATCTCCTGCTACAGTCGACAGGATCCCAAGCTCCTCTCCTTAGCAACCCAGCGTGTTGCCGCATGTTCGCTGGAGGAAATGTGGGTGGGCAGTGGTGTCCATTTTGCTGCCCTGTCCTGATCGTGGTGATTCCTGAAGGAACCAGCATTCACCTTTTGTACGATGCTCAGCGATTTCTTTGGCAAACCTTCCCGAGGCCCTAACCACCATTCACGATGTGTTACAGGCTGGGTTCATGCCTTTTTTTGGTTTTGGCGAGGCACTAGGCTGAGCGCCCAGGACGGTGATAGTCAGCATGCCGCCTAGCGGGGGGGCTGTCTAGTAAGAGCCCGGATCCTCTGTGGTGACCGCAGAGCTCAAGGACCTGCACACCTTGTGGTTCTTACCCACCCGCCTTCCCTGGCGCTGCTCCTAGGGAGCCTGGCACACCTGCCTCTTCTGCTACTGGGAGGTTTCAGCTCATCAGCTCATGTTCAAAGAGGCTGCCGCTGCTTCCAAATGTGCAGTTTACTTAGAGGCATTCCCGTGCTGCTGATGGCTTCTTTTAAATCAATTTACAGGCTGTCACGCGCTCACTGCCTTGTGGCTCTGAGATGTGCTTTTCTTTGCCTATGTTACTGACAGCTGGTAAAAGTGCACTGAGAAACACGGGCAGCAGGTACCAGCTGGCTTGACACAGCAAAGCTTATATCCATCTGTCTAAAGCAGTGGTTCTCAACCTTGGCTGCACATCAGAATCACCTGGGAATCTTTTTAAAATCCTGATTTCTGGGCCTCATGCTCCAGAAATTCTGTTTCTTTGTTACGGGGTGGGGCCACAACATTAGTAACAAAGAAACAAAATTTCCCGAGGATGAGGCCCAGAAATCAGGATTTTAAAAAGATTCCCAGGTGATTCTAATGTGCAGCCAAGGCTGAGAACCACTGGTCTAAAGGGATGCTGAATATCCTGTCCCTTACTTAGGACTACATCCCACATATGTTCTACCCCTGGAACCACTCTAGAGGGACTGGGCAGCTACCATGAAAGAACAGAATCTTAATATACAAAGATCGAGTCCCCGGAGCCCCCAGGGCAGCTGTCCTGGGCTGGACACTGGCCTCTCCACTGGCCTCTCCACTGGCCCAGGAGGAGCTGGGCTTCCCGCTAAGACCAGGTAGAGAAGATGTCACGCACTCACCAGCCATGCTTCACCTTCTGCCGTCTCTTCCTCTTCTTGGCGTTTCACTGGGAATGGCAGGGAGAAGTGGGGAGATGAGAGCCTGCCCAGGATTGCCTTACCATTTATAGAAGCCTCTCCTACACACCCCAATTAGAATTGTAATGAAGTGGGCGAGGCACCAGGTCATTCCTGTAGTGCCTGTAAGCGTTTCCCTTACGACATCCCCGACATCCTCGTCACCCAATGGCAGGGCAGCCTGCTTATGCAAGACCAACTTGGGGAGGAGAGGGGAGATAAGAAAGAAAATTCACTTTTGTGAGTTTTTTCCCAAAGGTGAACACCTCTCTGGATTGTAGAGTTTGGGAAATTTTGTCGTGGTTTTGTTTCAGTATCCTGTCCAGAGCTGGAGCTGAGAAGTCTCCAAGAAATGTCTCAGCAGAAACCAGAAGCAGAGCATTGCTCAGTCTTTTCTCACTCGTCACACATATTGGGGTTTCCACCTGTACAAGGACGTGAGGCACTTAGCACGCTGGCCTGCTCAGGGCTGCCAGGAGGAGCACTGGGGTTGGAGTTAGAAACACTCCGTTGCAAGGCTGGGGGGGCCATCACTGAACCTAGAAGCCTTGGGAGCCTAGTCTGTGACGGGGTAATCGCGCCCACTCTTCTTAATCACTGAGTACAGGGAAGAAGCAAATGAGGTGATACAAGTCAAAAAAGTGCATAGATGCTGCCCTGGCTGGGTAGCTCAGGAGGCTGGAGCATCGCCCCATGCACCCGAAGGTGGCAGGTTTGATTCCCAGCCAGAGCACATACCTAGGTTGTGAGTTCCATTCCTGGTCAGGGTGCATTGGGGAGGCAAGCAATCGATGTTTCTCCCTCACATCGATGTTTCTCTCTGTCTCCAACTCTGTCTCTCATTCTCTCAGACACCCCCTATCTAAAATCAATTAAAAAAACACACAACAACATATCCTCAGGTGAGGATTAAAAAGAAAAGTGCATAGATGTGACCCATAATGGGGTAAATCCAGACACCATCTGGATTTGAATATCAGTTTGATTCCAGATTGGGGGAAACATGTGTTGTTGTTGTTATAAACTTTATTAGTATTTTTAAAAATATATTTTATTGATTTCAGAGAGGAAGAGAGAGGAGGAGAGAGATAGAAACACCAATGATGAGAGAATCATTGATCAGCTGCCTCCTACACACCCCCTACTGGGGATTGAGCCCACAACCTGGGCATGTGCTCTTGACTGGAATCAAAGCTGGGACCCTTCAGTCGGCAGGCTGATGCTCTATCCACTGAGCCAAACCAGCGAGGGCACAAACTTTATTTTTGTTGTTGATACTATTATAGATGTCCCCATATTCCCCTCTTTTGCCCACCTCCACCGAACCCCTGTCCCACTTCCCTCTGGCCATCACCACACTGTAGTCTGTGTTCATGGGTTATGTATATATGGTTTCTGGCTAATCTCTTCACCTTCTTACATCCATGCCCTTTCCCCCACCCATCTGACAGCTGTCAGTCTGTTCCATGTATCCATGCGTCTATTTCTATTTTGTTCATCAGTTTATTTTGTTCATTAGATTCTATGTATAAGTAAGGTCATATGGTATTGTCTTTCTCTGACTGGCTTATTTCGCTTAGCATAATATTCTCCAGGTCCATTCATTCTGTCGCAAAAGGTAAGAGTTCCTTTTTTATGGCTGTGAAGTATTCCATTGTGTAAATGTACCACAGTTCTTTTATCCATCCATCTACTGATGGGCACTTGGGGCGTTTCCAGAACTTTTTAATGAGGCAGTGGGGACAGCCACTGGTCTGGTAGTGGTGACATGGTTTCAACACATGCTCTCTGTAAGACTGGAGGGTAAGTCACCGACCCTCCCTGGGCCCAGGTTCTGCATTGGCGAAGAAAAGGAGGGGGAAGAGGGATCTGTTTTCTTTATATTTTTTGTTTGCTTGTGTGTTCTTCTAAGGGAATATATTTTTTGAAAGATCCAATAGGTAAATATTGTGAATATTCACCAGTACCAACACTTTCTGTGATAGGGAGTTTAACAAACGGATAGCGCTTTGAGGATTCATGATAGAGCACAAGTTTCTCACACCTTCCCCCAGAGGTGGAGTGAAAATAAAGACCCAGCTCCATGATGATAAGATCTTTAGAAAAATGTGGAAGTGCTGGATCTTGAGAAAGGTGAGGCTGAACAGACAGGTGGTCTGGAGAAAGAGGAATCTATGTCTTCTTTCTGCACAGCATTTTATACACCGTAGGCCCTCTGCTACCACCTGCATCTGTTTATGATCTGTTTCTCTCTGCCCCTATCCCTAGACTGAGCTCCTTGAAGGCACAGGCTGAATATTATTCACATCTCAGAACCTAGCATGGGCTGGTCACACGGCAGGAGCACTCATATTTTTGAACACATGAATCAGTCCCTCATCATAAAGATGGAAATAACTACCCTGGCTAAACACTTCACATATATGACCCTTTTCCATCTTCATATCAATCCTATCACACAGGTACTATTATTACTGATATTTTTTCAGGGGGAAGGAACGGGTTAACATGAATCTGTGCAACCAGGAGACTCCCATCCACATGTGAGCGACTCCAGAGCCTGTTCACTTAACCTGGCGGTCAGCTGCCTAAGAGAGGCGGGGCCGCAGCCATTCCCAGGCTTCCGGTGGCTTTACCAGAGAGGTGGCTCTGCACCCGGGCCGGGCAGAATGACCGCTGTTGGCTCTGGCCGATGACCCGGAAGAGAGAGAGGGTAGAGAGGTATGTGGCAAGGAGTACTGGACCCTGAAGAGAAGGCTCAAGTGTGGGTCTTGGCGCCTGCCATGCCACGAGCTGGGATGTGGACAAGGCCTTCCGATGGCCAGTCAGTCCTGCCAGAAGCCCCAAGACCTGTGGGGTCAAATGGGATGAATGGATGTGAGAGTGCCCCGCGCACTCTCAAGTGTGTTATAAAGAAACAGAGGGGTTTGCTAATTATTATTATTACTGCTGACATTTTTGGCCTGGGAGCCAAGAAGAACTGGACCCTGGACATTCCTTTGATGACTTGGCAAGGACACCTGCGGAGGAGACAGGGAGGCCGTGCTGTCCTTCAAGATTATATAGACACAGGTTTCCACTTCTGCTTCTGCCAGTCACCTCAACTCTCAGGGTCAATGCTTCCTCCTCTGTGAAACGGAGGAAGAATTACTCGGGGACTAGAGGAAATGATGACTATAAATGCTTGGCACAGTGGCTGGCACTGCCCGGGGTCACGTTAGTGTTGACAGTATTAGTATTCTTATTCCCCCCGAGGAATCCCACAGTCCTGAGTGTTGCAGATTTTGCAATGGGACCCACAAGTGTGGGCAGTGGTGCCTGACCACTGACCATGGTGTCTTCCTTGGGAAGGTCTGTAGCTGATCAGCCTTGACCCCAGAGGGTGTGGTAGAAAGATGCCCACCCTGGATTCAGGAGACCCAGCTGGGCTCTGTGACTTGCCCACTGTGACCTTGGCAGAATCCCTTTACATCTCAAAGCCTCAGTTTCCTCATCAGCCTCCCCACACACCTCCCAGGGCTGGAGTCAGGTGCAAAACCTTGAAATCGCAGCTGTGACATGCCTCTGTAGACAGAGGGGTGTTGCGCCAACCTCAGGGGCCCAGCTTCTGGCCTCCCCCACCCCCCACCACCTCCGGCCGCCCCACCCCCTCCCCTGGAGCCTGCTAACTGCAGCGGGGCCCTGCCCTGGCCACCCGCCACGCGTCCTCTTCATTTTAGCAGCTGGGGGATTGCGCCAGGGCCGCAGCTGCACAGGGCCCCAGCCTCGACCTGCAGCAGGGCCATAATTTGCACACGATGTCACAATTTCAGCTAAATGATTTTCAATTCATAGGTGGAGTCACCCAGCTCCGAGTAGGATGAAATTCCTGCTTGGCCACCCTCCTGCACCTCGAACCCCAGGTAAGATGGGGCATGCAAGTATGGGCTTCTTGAAAAAGAAGACGCTAATTGATCTTTGCCTTTTTATCTCCTTTTAATTAAAGGATTTAGGGTTGCTGAAGATTTTGCAACACCCGGAGAAGCACAGAACCTCATGAGAAGTTACTGACCCCGCCTTTCTCGGAACACAATAATCCCCTTTCCAGACACATTGCTCTTGAAAACTCCAGTGACAGGGAACTTACACCTGTCAGAGCAGCCTATACTTGCCCTAGACCAGTGATGGAGAACCTATGACACGCGTGTCAGAGGTGACACGCGAACTCATTTTTTTGGTTGATTTTTCTTTGTTAAATGGCATTTACATATATAAAATAAATATCAAAAATATAAATCTTTGTTTTACTATGGTTGCAAATGTCAAAAAATTTCTATATGCGACACGGCACCAGAGTTAAGTTAGGGTTTTTCAAAATGCTGACATGCCAAGCTCAAAAGGTTCGCTATCACTGCCCTAGACAGTTTGGGCTGAAACATTCATTTCTGGGGTGGTCCACTTTAAGGTACATCTTCTCCAATTTCATAGGAGCTCCGTGAGGGCGGGAACTTTGTCCTGGTCCATCACTGCTCCATCCCAGTGCTTCCCAGTGCCCAGATCATGGTTAAAGAGCCTTGAAAAGACCAGCAAGTTCTTTCTCATGTGAACTGAGAATCTGTCTCCTAGAGCTGCTACCCATGGGCCCTCACTGTTTCCCCACAAATCCTTCATGGAGCCCACATGAAACAGGGCTCTTTCTTCCTTCCCCTAACAATGATCATGTCCTCCCCCAAGTCTGGCAAACACCCCAAGAAGTCTTCTCTTTTCTCGGCTAAGCACCAGTTTCTTCAACCATTCCTGGTGAGTCATGACTTGGAGGCCTCTCCTCCTCTGAAACCTTCAGTGGCTCCCCTAGGCCAATTACAGTTTCAGTTCCTTAGTCTGGCATTTAAGGCCCTCCAGTGTATGCTCAGCCTTAACTCCATTATTTTCTACCGCTCTTCCACGAACTCTGCAGCAAAACATGTCTAATCGTTTTCCCTGGAGCCCAACCCGATTGTTCCTGCCTCTACCCTGTTTATAAAATGCCCTGCCTGGAACATTTCCCTAGTTCATCTGCATCCAGGTCTCATCATCACTAAGGCTGAAAGCAATTCTCCCCCTCCACCTGATCATTTCAGTGTATTGTGGAAAGAGAGTTTCAATGAACTAAGCGAACTCAGGTTTAAGTCTCAGAGACACATTCTAACTACTAGGAACACCTATTTTGATAACCAAACGGACTACGGGCAAATGGTTTAACTTCGCCGAGCCTAAGGTTTCTCCTCTGAAAAATGGGTCTAATGATACCCGCACTGCTCACCCTCCAGAGCATTCTGGGGAATCATGAGACGATACACATAAAAGCCCATTGAAAATGACAAGATGCACTGACTTCCCTACTTCTGGGCGTCTTGAATATGCCCCGAGTTAGATCAAACAATACACAATCTAAATCGGTTAGATGATTCTAGAATTAGTGGAGTGATCACCATGTAAGGGATACAAATGTTGAATCACTGTATTGTACACTGGAAATTAATATAACCAATATGAAATTGTATAACAATGATACCTAAATAAAAATAAAAATAAAAATGTTAAAGTCTGTTAGGATGGAGGGGGTCTAAGATGTGGTGAGGGAGTTGGTTTGACTTTGGGTGGTGGGCACACAGTGCAGCAGGCAGGTCTTGTATCATAGACATGTACGCCTGAAACCTATATGATCTTATTAACCAATGTCACCCCAATAAATGTAATTTTAAAAATAAACAAAGAAAAACCTGGCAGTGGTAAGGTTCTTAAGGAGGGCGCACAGGCGTCTGCGTGGCCCACATTTCCCGACCCCAGGCTCTGTGTTAAGAGTTGCACCTCAAACTGGGTGGAGGGGAGCTATGGGGGGAAATGGGGGAACAACTGTAATAATCTGAACAATAAAGGTTTATTAAAAAGAAAAAAAAAGAGTTTCGCCTCAGTTAACTTTTAAGCCTCAGGCCAACCCTATGGGAAAGACATTGCTAATCCATATTATAGAAAAGAAACCAGAGGTTTAGAGAAGCTACATAAGATGGCAAGAAACTAAGCAACAAATAGCTATGTCAGGGTCTGAAGCCAGGTCATTCTGAGCGGAAATCCCATTTGTGACTCCTGGTCTCTAGCGAATCATCCAGTTCAGTGAAACCCGGGTCTTTCATTCGGGAGACTGTGATTACGCATGGACACTGGTGATGGTGGCGTTAGTAACTCTCTGCTGAGACGAATATCGAAGCCTCGACTTCAATGTGCAAGGCCTTGGCGGAAGAGTAGATGTGCAAAAGTCCCTTACAACTCGTGCCAGTCAGTGCTCATCTCATCGAATGCTTGCTCGTATGACGTGGGGCGCCCAGCCCTGGAGAAGACAGGCAGGGAGCAATGGAGTATTTTTGTTTTTGTTTTTAAAGACAGAAACTGATAGGAACTAAAAAAAAAAAAAAAAAAAAGGTGCATACCTCTCATAGAAAGAATTCAGAAGGAGTGGTGATTACAGATTATGGAGATAAAGAAGAGCGATTTTGTTGGAGGAGGCATTCCCTGAAGGAGAATACCACAGACAGAGGTAGGAGGAGAAAGAGTGAAGGGGGACAGGCAGCTGACCCTGGAAGAGACCGCACATGAGTTTATCTGGGGCACATGGCATCTGGGGACGTGGGAAAGGGCCAGAAAGGCCCCAGCTCCACCCGGAAACAGAGCAAGGATGCTTAATCCTGGGGTATGGGGAAGGTAAACCAGTGGGCAGTCCTGGCTCACCCTGTGACAGAGGGTTGGTTTACTCTGCTAAGCTGGCGCCTGGCTATTTGTGAGCATCCAGCGGAAAAACCAAACAGAGAGAAGAGAAGAAACCACAGCCCGCCAGAGAGAAGAGAAGAAACCACAGCCCGCCACCTGTGGACTCCGAGGCCACGCCTGGAAGGCGCGCTGGCACCCAGCGCATGTTAGGGAACGGGGAGGACAGAGGGCAGGTCACCAGGTTGTGTAAATACTCAGGAGGGAAACAGATCGCAGAGATCATCCAGCCCAACCCTTTCGTTTTACAAATGAGAAGCCAAGGCCTTCGGAGAAATGATTTGCCTCAGATCACGGAATAACTGACCGGCATCTCAGAGCCGGAAGAGCATTTAGGGGCCATTTGGCCCAATTTCCTCCTTTTACCCATGAGAATACTGAGGCCTGAATCAGCTGGAGACGCAGGCTTTCCCGCCCTCTGCACTCTGCTCTTCTGCTGTATCATTTTAGTCCCTTCCATTCTGTCAAAGAATCCATTTTGGAAAAAGGCCTAAGAGGTTGGGCATGCAAGATTAGGGAAATGCTTTTCAATGTCATCAATAGTAGCAAATATTATTAACATCACTGAGCAGTTATACAATTATCACAAACTTTGCTTTTGTGTTCATGGCCTCACCTGATCTTGACCCAGCTCCTAGGAAGCAGATTTTTGTACAACTGCCATGTCACAGGGGAGAAAGTGGATGCCCACACACGTTGTGTCTCAACAGAAGTTACACTCAAATCTGAAACTTTGGATCCCAAGTCCTATGCTCCTTCTTCTCCATCTCATGTTAGGCACTAATTATAAATGAGCGTAAGGGAAAAGTATGTTCAAAATCACACGAGTGCTGGATGCTTTATAGTAACTTGTGCGTTCGGTGCCTTGCTGTATTTTCACCATCTGACATAGCCTAATCCGCTTGAATATAAGTGTGATTCATGAAGAAACCTAAAGGTTTGGGAAGGGGGTGAAGAGCTGTTCAAGAGAGTGTGGTAGGTGGAGAAAGCTATATACTAGAATGTAAACAGTGGTGTATTAAAAGAGAATCCTGATTCTTTATGCAATTCAATATTTTCTCAATTTTTTACAATTATAATATACTAGAAGCCCAGTGCATGAATTCATGCTCGGGTGGGGTCCCTTGGGGTGGCCTGTGGAGATCAGGCCCCAGCTCACACCCCCAGCCTTGCAGCCCCACCTGGCACCCCGCCTTGGCCTGGTGCTGCCCCCTTACTTGTTCTACCATCCCACCTATGGGGCGATCGGTTGGGCTGGGTCCCCCACCCGGCTCCCTCAGTACCTGGGAGCAGGGTGGTGGCCCTGCCCCCATCCACTGCTGCTGGTTGCTGTCTGTGGGGTGATCTGGGGGGTGATTGGGCCCCTACTTGCACCCGCATTGACCTGGCGCCACCCACTCACCTGCTCTACCATCCCACCATGGTCCTGCTCTTGTCAGGGCCTATCGGGGCTGGTAGTACCTCCACTGCAGCCTGCTGCCAGTGCTGCATCGCTGACACCAGCCATGTTCCTCGCCGACCCCTGGTGTTCAGCTCACATCATAGCGAGTGGTCGAACTCCCAATCGAATGACCACGGGAGGGGACAATTTTCATATTAGGCTTTTATTATATAGGATTTTTGATCATCAGAAAACATATGTCCATTTTTTAAAAAAATTACCATATTATCACAGAAATATGTTACTGATACGTAGTGATATGCAAGTAGATTTTAAGGCTTTACATATAGGATGATCCAATGTTGACATATCTTTATGGCAAGTGTAGGAATTTTAAAAGCTTAGAATGTGGTACAACAAAATCCAAATGGTTAGTATTCCCTGATTTTGTTTTGCTGCATTGTTTTGTGTCTATAATGAATATGCCTCAATATGCCTAAGTTGTGGAACAAGAAAGAAGGAAAGGTAGGAGAGCAGCACATTGAAGAGGGTTGAGCTGCCCAACTGTCAAGCTTAGTCATCAACTCATCCATATCTTTCAAACTAGGCAGCTATGAATGAGGGCAAAGGATGCATTTTCATCCCTGATTATTCTTGTTTCATGCCGAATGAGCTAAGTAAAAATGGATTCAGCCCTAGATGACTTATTAGTGAATTATTTTACAGTTTGAGTATTAGCTGTTAGCTGGATTGATCAGCAATTTTGGTCTTCACCAAATTTATCCAATACTTGAATTCATTAATTCTTAAGAACAAGTAGGAATTTTCCATGTAACAGATTTAGATCTCAGTTTTATGCATCCAGGAAGTTAATAACTTTAAACTGGAAGGGTAATTTGCCAAGGATGCTGGAACCCTCTCTCCCGGAATCGAGTCAAAACAACAGAAACGGGGAAGACCTGGGAATGGCTCTGTTCACCTCTCCGGAACGTAAAGTCTGGAAAGTCCAAATCAGGCTGCTCTTAAGATGTGGCAATATTCATAGGACTTGTGCACAGGGAACAGAAGGAGGAAATGGAAATTTAAGTCAATTACAACACAGGACCAAATAAA